CCCTGTCTCTAGGCCTGGGAGTGTCTGTCTTGTAGGGTTGCAGCAGTCTTTAAAGGTTTCTGTCCGAGCACACTGGCCGCCATCACTCTGGCCATTCTGTGCCCAGGTCCAGCTGGCTCCCCGCCCCCACGGCTCTGGACTATCTAGGCACGGCACGCCTGCAGGACCGGCTGCTGAGTGCACGCTGTTCCGTGGAGCCTGGGCCTGAGCCTGCAGGCGCGCCGGCTGATGCTGGACCCACAGTGCTCGCACTGCCTCTGGGCGTCGCCTCTGCCCACGCCCATTCTCCCCTGTCCTGTTGACCCTGACTGACAAACCCAAGTTCAAAGACAAGAGTATTAAGAATTTCACAACACTGACAGCAGATGCAGAACCGAGCATAGGGGCTTCCTCAGCATGGAGTCCTGAATGCCTGTGCGGGTTACGTGCCCAAGAAGCTGGCCCCAGAAGAATTTTCAGGGGTCTGCAAATGCACATGACTTAGTGACTTCACTGACCAGCTCTCTCCAGTTCATCTTCCCTTATCATGTAAGCTCTGTTCTGATGTGTTTATCAAGGAACCAATACTTAGTGTTTGGGTAGATGAGGATAAACCTACAAGACTTCTTGATTACCATGAATAATGCTGCTGTGAACATTCATGTACAGTTATTGTTTGAACACTTGTTTTCAATTCTCTTGGGTATACATCTAAGAATGTTATTGCTGGGTCATAAGGCGATTCTGTGTTAATATTTTGAGGAACTGCAAAACTATTTTTTAAAGTGGCTGTACCACTTTACATTCCTACCAGTCCTGTATGAAGTTCTAATTTCTCTACATCTTTGTCATTGTTCTTGTCTATCTTTTTTATTATAGCCGTCTTAATGCGTGTGAAGTGGTATCTCATTGCAGTTTTGATTTGCATTTCCCTAATGACTAATAATCTTGAGCATATTTTCCTATACTTATTGGCTACTTGTATATCTTCTTTGGATAAATGTCTATTCAAATCCTTCACCCATTTTAAATTGGGTTATTCATCTTTTTATTGTTGAGTTGTAAGTTTTTTAAATATATCCTGGATACTAAACTATTATCAGATATACGATTTGCAAATATTCTCTCCCATTCCATGGATTGCCTTTTTACTTTCTTGATGGTGTCTTTTGATATACAAAAGTTTTAAATTTTGGTGAAGTCCACTTTACTTTTTCTTTGATTGCTTGTACTTTAGATATGTATCTAAGAAACCATTGCCTGATTTACCCCTATGTTTTCTTCTGATCTTATAATGTCAGCTCTTACTTTTGGGTCTTGGATGCATTTTGAGTTAGTTTTTGTGTCTGGTGTGAGGTAGGGGTCCACCTTCACTTTTTTTGCACATGAATAACTGGTTGTCCCAACATTGTCTGTTGAAAAAACTATTCTTTCCCCAATATATTGTCTTGGCACCCCTGTTGAAAATCAATTGACTGTTAGTATATGGGTTTATTTCTGGACTCTCAGTCCTATTCCAGTGATCTATATGTCCTTATGCCTGTACCACACATTTTTGATCACTGTATCTTTGTAGTAAGTTTTGAAATCATAAGTGTGAGTCCTCCAACTTTATTTTTTCTCTTCAAGATTGCTTTGACCATTCAGGGTCTCTTGCAATTCTACATAAAATTTAAGATTAGGTTTTCCATTTCTGCAATGTGTTTTGATAGGAGTACATTGAATCGGCAGATTTCTTTAAGTGTTATTGCTATCTTAACAATATTAAGTATATCAATCTGTGAAAATGGAGTATATTTCTATTTATTTAGATCTTTTTTAATTTCCTTCAGTAATGTTTTGTAGTTTTTACTTCTTTGGTTAAATTTATTCCTAAGTATTATTCTTTTTGTTGCTATTGTAAATGTCATTTTTTCTTAATTTAAATTTTCAAACAAATTTTTATTGCTAATGTGTAGAAATACAACTGATTTTTGAGTATTGATCTTGTATCTTACAACCTTACTGAATTTTATTAATAGCTCTAGTGGTTTTTTTTGTGAATTCTTTAGAATTTTCTATATACAAGGTCATGCCATCTGCAAATAGAGATAGTTTTATTTCTTCTTTTCTAATCTGGATGCCTTTTACTTCATTTTCTTGCCTAGTTCTCCTGACTGGAATCTCTAGTATGATACTGAATCTAGGTGGTGAGAGTGAACAGCCTCATCTTGTTCATGATGTTGGGGGGAGGCATCTGGTCTTTCACCAATAACTATGATGTTAGTCATGGGTTTTTTGTAGATTCCCTTTATGAGGTTGAGGAAGGTCCCTTTTGTTCCTAATTTGTTGAGTGTTTTTATCTTGAAACGGTGTTGGATTTTGTCAAATGCTTTTTGTGCATCTACTGAGATGATCATGTGGTTTTTGTTTTTTATTTTATTAATATGATGTATTACATTAATTGGTATTTGAATGTTGTGCTGACTTTGCATTCCTGGGATAAATTCCACTTGGTCATGGTAGAGAGTTCTTTTTATATATTGCTGGATTCAGTTTGTTAGTTTATTGTTGAGGGTTTTTGCACATATGTTCATTGGAGAGATTGGCCTGTGGTTTTCTTTTCTTAAAATATCTTTGGTTTTGGTATCAGGGTAATATAGACCTCATAGAATGAGTTGGGAAATCTTCTCTCCTCTTCCATTTTTGGGAAGAGTTTTTGAAGTATTGGTGTTAGCTCCTGTTTCAGTGTTTGGTAGAATTCACCAGTGAAACCATTTGTTCTAGGGCTTTTCTTTGTGGGACATTTTTTGATTACAACTTAAATTTCTTTACTTGTTATAAGTACATTCAAATTGTCTATTTCTTTTTGAGTCAGTTTTGGTAGTTATGTTTTTATAGGAATTTGTGCATTTAACCTAGACCATCCAGTTGGTTGGCATACAATTGTTCATAGTATTCCCTTATAATCCTTTTTTCTGTAAGGTAAATCCCCTCTTTCACTCCTGATTTTAGTAATTTGAGTCTTCTCTTTTTTTTCTTGGTCCATCTAGCTGAAGGTTTGTCAATTTTGTTGATCTTTTCAAAGAACTATCTTTTGTTTCTATGACCTTACCAATTATTTTTCTATTCTCTATTTCATTAATTTACTCTCTAATGTTTATTATTTCTCCCTTATGCTTACTTTATGTTTAGTTTGCTCCTCTTTTTCTATTGTCTTAAGGTGGAAGATTAGGTTATTGATTTGAGATTTTTCTTCTTTTAATATAGGCATTTTCATCTATAAATTTCCCTCTAAGCATTGCTTTGTGTTATGTATTCCTTTTTACCTATTTCAAGTATTTTCTAATTTCCCCTGTTGTTTCTTCTTTGATCCATTGGTTATTTAGGAGTCTTGTTGTTTAATTTCCATGTGTTTGTGAATTGTTTAATTTCCATGTATTTGTGAATTCTCTAAATTTCTTTCTGTTACTTTTTTTTTCCCCCAGAGCCCCAGCAGATAGTTGTATGTCATAGTCGCACATCCTTCTAGCTGCTGTATGTGGGACGCGGCCCTCAGCATGGCCGGAGAAGCGGTGCGTCGGTGCGCACCCGGGATCCAAACCTAGGCCGCCAGCAGCGGAGCGCGTGCAGTTAACCGCCAAGCCACGGGGCCGGCCCAATTTCTTTCTGTTATTGATTTCAACTTTCATTCTATTGTAGTTGAGAAGATAGTCTCTCTGCTTACCTGGTAAAGCCAGGCATTTTTTTTCAATATTAAATAGTATGGAGAGAGAAAGAGATGACAACTTAGCTTAAATGACATAAACACTAACATACAATAAACATACCAGATTGTTGGCTGCACGCTCGTCTGCAGACATGTGACTTGGGGTAGAATATCAAATGCTCTCCTTGCTTGTGTGGGTGGTAGCATCCTGGATACACGTGACGGCAGAGAGTTCAGTGTGGCTGAAGCATCACTGCAGATGGAAGAGAGGAGAGATGAGGTTTTCTAGGTGTTTTAACAAGGAGTTCAGATCTTTGTTCTCTGGGGACAGAGAACCATTGGTGGATTTTGATCACTGATGGGATATGGCCATTTGTAGGGAAACATCCCTCTTGGAGCTCTGTGGAGATGGATTTGATCAGACAAGGCTTGTCTTACAGAGAAGGATACCCTGAATCTCATGTTGGATTTTTTTGGAAGTTGGTCACAGGGTCATTTTGCAAAACTTTTCCATCCAGACCCAAAACTTAAAGTCATTCCAGGGAGAATCTAGAGCACAGTCCAGGTCCTGTTACATAAACCAGGTTTGACTTTGAAAAATAGAATGTCCTATTTTTATATGTTGCTAATGAAAACAACAAGCTTACAACTGTTCTCTGAAAATTCTAGGCAATACTGCAGACTTTTATTGTTTTAGTTTCTAGTACCTTTACATTAAAATTTTCTGTTTTTTACAATGGTTCATAGGAAAGGGCACCACCTAATTTATTTTATCTTTTGCATCTTGTAATGTATTAAAGAACTGTCTATATTTCACATAGCTTTTTCATTTTGTCTTATGATACTTCTTCGGGGGGTATTACTATCCTCATTTTAATATTAAAGAAGCTTGTGCTCAGGTTCAGCAACTTGGCCTTCATCACAGAAACAGCAGAGTTGGAATTTGAAGCCACGTCTCCCCATCTCCAACGTCCTCCTCTCCGATACAGGACCCTCCCTCTTTGATAGAACAAGAAGTCTAATTGCAATGCCGTTTCTCCTCTGTACACCACTTCACTGAACATTTTCTTCATGTTTCTGAAGGCACTGGGTGAATTAAAAAGCTGCGTATCTCTGGGTTGGGATAACTCAGCTGATTTAATTTTGGGATCAGGTAGCCCTTGCTTCCTCCATAACAGCAGGACAAAGCGGAGCCAGAGGAGCCCTGGTTTCCAGTCCTTACGTCACCCTGCAGACAATTGGCAGCCAGGAGACCGACAGCTGCCACACTCTTCAGATATCTCTCTATTTAAAGTTCAAAGAGACGCTGGATAACAATAACAAAGAGGGAAGCGTGCCGACCAACCCACCAAGCAACAGGAAGAATGGCTGAAAAAGGTAAGATTTAAGGCATCAGACTCTCTTGGCAAAGGCCCCGGCTCCCTGGTTTATTTTAGGATTCCTGGTATTTGGTGTTTCTCAGTCATTCTGGAGAATGTGGTATCTCTGCTAAAGGAGCATTAACTGCATATGTTAGTGTGGCTGCAAAAAATGCATTAGACGTGCAATTTACAGACCATGTCTGCACAATATGAATAATTCTGGAAAGATCAAACAAAGAGGAGAGCTTCAATTGTTCATGCTTGTCTTGAAAGATGAGTTTGACGTCAGTTTTTCTCCAGGGTTGTACTAGCTTTGAGCCTTGTGGTGTGCTTGGCCAGAATAAGGACATTTGAATTCTGTGTCAAATCTGCTACTAAATGGCCATGTGAGTTTGGGGAAGTCCCTCTGCCTCTCCAAACCTGTTTCCTGACTCTACAATGAAAATATTGGGCCTAGTCATCTCTAATATGCTTCACATCTGAATTTCTTTTTTTCTGGACAACAATCTCATGAGATATGCAGTATGATCATCCTTTCCGTTTTACAAAGAGGTAAACTGAGGCATAACAAAGTTTAGTAACTTGCCGGTGATCACACGTGAGTGGTGGCACCAGGCTTGGAACCCAGACAGTTGTGTTCCAGAGCTCAGTGCCCTTGAGAAAACTTCCAGGTGGAACTCCTGGGGCACGCTCAGGGCTGGGCAGGGAGAGAAGCATTTGCAATTACTCTTCATATTTAAAAGAGTATTTGTGCTATTAATGTAAGTGACGTGCAAAGTATGTCGTGTTCTTATTTAAAGACAACGCTACAGACTGTGGTAAAACTTAAAATACTAGTGTTAAAGGAACACAAATGTGAGTATACTTCGAGTGTTAAAATGCACAGTCAATTGTATTGTTTTACAGGGAATAATAAATAATGAGATATATACTTTTAGGGTTTATTGTATATAAATTTTAGTGTATTAAAGTATGATTGTATAAAATATTTATAAGTGATCAATTAAAATAGTATTAATTTTTAAGTTCTTTGAAATTGTGAAAAATACTAAATCACATATATGAACAGTTACAAGAAAATTACTGTTGTCTTTGCATAGTCATGGTGCCTGAATTTGTAAAAGGCTTTCATCCAAATGAGAGAAAAGGGCATATGGCAACGTTTGCTTTATCCTTAAAGCAGTACCACATGGCAGGTAAAGAGAAGGTTTCCACTGAGTGGTTGACACTCAGTTCCAGGTGTCAGTGAGACGGGGGAGCAGGGAAAGCCCGTTGAGGCTGTGCGAGTTAAGAGAGACTCCGACATTTTTGGAAACAAAGATTTAAACTATTAAAATTCATTTTAACCTAAGAAAGTTTGCTTTTATAAGACTGTCTTCTAATTTTAGAAGTGTCTCATTTCCGGATGATTTTATTTTAATAGCGTTAAAAAAACTTCACATTTTAAAGTGATGGGAATCGTAATAGGAATGTAATTGCTAAGAATATGCATTCTTGTTGTTGGCAAATGGCATAAGATCTCAACTGTGCTTCTTCATTAAGAATATATCTGAGTCCTTAACACGGGGACATTAATTCTGTATCTCTGTGCTGTTTTTTGAATCTTTTTGTGTAATGTGTATGAAAGAACAAGATTAAGGTGCAGTGGATATTAAAAAAAGATACTTTTATAAATTGCTTTTTACGGGTAAGGGTACAAATAGGAGACCCAGGAGGAATCATTGTACTAATGTCTTTGATGTGTGTGTTGAATCAGTGTTGGTTGCTGTATTGAGCAAGTTGAAAAAATACGATCTCTTTTCTCTAGTCAAGAATGATTATATAAGGTATAATGCCTTCCTCTTCCTATGAAACTTAAGGTGAAAGTCAGCTATCGAGTCCAAGAACAGTTTCCGCACCTTTCCCTGTGTTATCGTTACTGAGTAGGAATTATCTCAGAATCATTTTTGATTGTTTCTCTGTAAACAGCTGCTCTCTGTGTTATTGAACAAATGCATGAGTGTGTTCTGTGTGCACTAAGCACACGTGGTGGTTAGAGTTTACAAAGCCTTTGCACACATGCATTGTCATCTGATCCTCACAACAACTCCATGAGGTAGATATCACGAGTTCCGTTATCCATATTTTACAGACAGGGAAACCCAAACTCAGAATTGCCCAAGGTCACATAAGCGTCAAAGGGAGACCCATGGTTTGAACACAGGTCTTCTTTCCAAATACTGGGCTGAGTCACATGTACTCTTTGTAGAAAAGAAAATAGAATCATGTATGGGTATGACTGGAGAGCGTGTTTTTTTTTCTTGATATTACCAGATTCCTCTCTTCTCTTGATTCAAAGATTTAATACCAAAATGACCTACCTTCTGTGTCTTCTTTTGTATACTTTTAAGCAGAGCTTCCATATTCCCGCCTTGTGGTCCCCATCCTTCTCTTGATCGGCTGGATTGTGGGCTGCATCATAATGGTTTATGTCGTCTTCTCCTAGAAAGGTAAAGTTTTCAATAATTGATTGTTTGTTCATAAAGAGCATACATTACTCCAGAAATAATCTTTTCTGTTTCACTAATGGGACATTTTATCATGCAGGCAAGAAGACTTCAGATTGACCTCATTTAGAAGAATTGAGAAAAGCACGAACATGACAGATTATTAAATGTTTCTCATGGAAATAACTGTAATGCTTGACGTCACTTTATAAACTTGGATTTGTAAACTTGTGCTTTGGTGTGCATAAGAGTTTCTTCAGAAACTTGTTTAAAATTCTGGGTACAAATAAGAAGTATAGAAAATATGGATGAATTTCTCTATAACCTGGGAGTAGGAAAAATGTTCCTATGGCTAACAATGCATAAGCAATAGGGAAAAGTATGGTAAATTGAATTACATTAAATTTTTTGGCCACCCCCGCCCAAAAAAATACTATAGAAAAAATGAGCTAGAGGTAAGAGAAAGTTCACAGAAAACAAAGTGTAGGTGTAAACTTGGCCTTTGACCTCTTGCTCAAACAAGAAACCTGTAATTAGGCTGCACTGAGGATGCACTGCTCGTCCCTCAGCGGGAAGATGAAGCTGTCTGACTGTGTGTGTCAGTGGGATGTGGGGACACAGGCCCTCTCCTCGACCGTCCTCAGAAATTAAGCAGGGGCAGCATTTGCAGGGGCTGCAGTCAGTATCCACCAACATTACACATGTGTTTAACTTTTGACCCAGCTATCCCTCTTCTAGGAATATTGCAATTTCCACAGACACATGGGTAAGAGTACAAGATGGCCTATGCACACGCCTGTTCACACGGCATAGTTTGTTACAGCAAACGCCTGGAAACGGGCTGAATGTCCATTAACGGGGCCTGACTGTCTACGTAACGTGGTGTTACCCAGCTCTACAAGGGAGGAGGGGTCTCTGTGCAGATGTGGCGTCAGCCCTGGTCAGAGCGTAAGTGAAAAGCCAGCATGTGCTCAGGAGGGTCTGTGCCAACACGCACGCAGATTTGCTCACAGTGAAATGTTGGGGCAGAGACGCCACAGATGGAGGCAGACCTCGCTGAGTGCACCTTCCTTTATAGTTTTCATTTTTGGAATCATGTAAATATCTGATAAATTAAAGACAAAGGAAGAAAAAGGAAAAAGTAATCCCCCAAATTTAAAACAAAGTGAAGCAGGGGCCGCCCCATGGCTTAGCAGTTAAGAGCGTGCGCTCCACTACTGGCGGCCTGGGTTCAGATCCTGGGCGCGCACCGACGCACGGCTTCTCCGGCCATGCCTAGGCCGTGTCCCACATACAGCAACTAGAAGGATGTGCAACTATGACATACAACTATCCACTGGGGCTTTGGGGAGAAAAAGGGGGAAAAAAGGAGAAGGACTGGCAATAGATGTTAGCTCAGGGCCGGTCTTCCTCAGCAAAAAGAGGAGGATTGGCATGGATGTTAGCTCAGGCCTGATCTTCCTCACAAAAAAAAAAAAAAAGTGAAGCAAATAAACCTAATAGTACATCAAGTTGGTGACATAACTACAGAGAAAAAATTCTTTCAAGTGACTTTGAGACACGGTGTGTTTGATTGCACCCCCCTTTTTGGGATAGAGACCTTAAGCACACTCAGTAGCTGTTTTTTTTTTTTTTTTCCCGCTGAGAAAGATTAGCCCTGAGCTAACATCTGTGCCAATCTTCCTCTGTTTTGTACGTGAGCTGCCACCACAGCACGGCCACTGACAAGTGGTGTAGGTCTGCACTGGGGAACTGAACCCAGGCCGCCAAAGCAGAGCACGCTGACCTTAACCACTAGGCCGCCAGGGCTGGCCCTCAGCAGCCTTTTTGTTGGTAGTAATATTGGTATTGTTAGTTTGAAATTCATGTCACCAGCAAGAAGAAGTCAAGTCAATACTTGATAATCTTAAATTTGAATTGCAAATAGTGGTATGAACCCACAATTTATTTATTTTCCTTCTTCTGAAAATAAAAGTCTATCCTAACTCCACCCACTGAAAGAGTCTAATAGGGACGAGCGCCCCCCACCTTCATTGTGGTCTCTGAACACCAATGTCCACTCAGAGGAGCCAGGGATCTCTGCCCTGGTCTTACAGGAAATGTGCAAGATGAGTTGGGACATCTTGTTCCGGAAAGTAAGGAAGCCATAAAGGCTTCTGTGGACAAAGATGTAATAATTGAACATCAAAAAGAATAATGAGTGCAAAGGATCGAAATACATCAAATACATAAATACCCATGAATCCATAATGATAATAAAAAATAAAAATAAGCAAACAAAACTCTCATTGTCACATTTGGAGGTTGCTAAGGAACCAACTTGTTGTAAAATTTTTAAATAAAGAGAAAAAAATCTTGTTGTTTTTCTTGAATAAACTACTTCTAGATAGCCAAATAAATTTTGAGAGAAAGGTCTTCTTTATAGAAGTATTCCAGCTAAAATATATAGGAGGGATAAAATTGGAAAACTATTATTTTGCAAACTTTAATGAAATAATAGATCTTGGCAACAATCATTAACGGATGTTAAACAACTAGGTTAAATGTTGATGGGGGAGTTTTATACCCGGTGGACCAGTCTGATGACGCCTGAATACACTGATGAAGCCGACACCACTAAGCAACCCATGGATCAACTCAACACTGCTAAGCGGTGAAGGCAGACACCCTGAGCCTCCTGACAGGGGACAGTCCAAAGTACACGGGTGCCACCGAGGAAGCGTTCTTGCCAAAGCAGGGGAACCTGAAGCGAGCCAAGTTTCTGGGTCTGTCTACCAGGCTACTCTAAGCAGAATCATGAGGATACCTGCAGCCCAGTCCAGAGTGTGGAAAGTGAGAAAGGGCGCAGGACCCAGTCTTCCAACAGGTAACCGGCATGAAGAGGTGGGTGGGAGGGAGAAAGCGTCGCAGGAGAAAAGGACTTGACGGGGCAGCCAGCGAGTGTGAGTGCTGGCCAACCTCAGAGACCGCTTTGTGTTTCTGTGACAAAGGTGTTGAGGAATTGTTCCCAATTTTGTTCACTGTAATAGTGGCAATTGGCAGTGGAAAAGAAAAGGTGCTCATCTGTGAGAGATACCTACCGAAATATTTGCTGATGAGAAGACATGCTGTCTAGGAATTGCCTTAAAATATTCCCGTGGAAAACAAACTAAAAAGTGAAGTGGGGCAATGAAGTAAGACAGGAAAATGCTGACATTTGTTCAAACTGAGTGATGATTCCCTGAGACTTTATTATACTCTCTGTTCTACTCTTGTGCATATTTAAAAATTTTTATAAAAAGTTTGTTTCTGTTTTCCTCCCCACAGCCCTGAGTTGTGAATTACAAATAATGCAAATAAAGAAAGAAGAATAAATTGAAATAATGTAAAATAAAACCTAGTCCTGCTCCTGCCCCTCCTCCCTGGAGATTCTGATTCAGTGGGTGTGTATTGGCCAGGAATCTGCACTTAACAAGCCCCCCTCCCCGGGGACTCTGGGGTGGACTGAAACGTGAGGGCCGTTGCTGCAAAGCAGAGGCTCTCAGACCTTAGAGCACAGCGCCGTCCCCGGGGACGCGTCAGAACACGGGGTGCTGGGCCTCTCTCCTGGAGTTTCTGATTCAGGGGATGGGGCGGGGGCCTGAGGATTTCATTTTCCACGAGTTTTCAGGCGCTGCTGGTGCTGCTGGCCCAGGATCCACTGCTCTAGAAGCGCTGTCGTCCGAACGCCTGTGTCCCCCAGGTACAGACGTTGGGATCCCGACCCTCAAAGGTGATGGTGTTGGGAAGGAGGGGGGACTTCGGGAGGTGACCAGGTCAGAGGTGTGGGGCCTCAGGAACGGGACCAGTGTCCTTATGAACAAGACCCCAGAGAGCTCCCTTCCCTGCCACCTTGTGAGCACATGAGGAGTCTGCAGCACGGAAGAGGGTCCTCCCCAGAGCCTGACCACCCAGCACCCCGATTTTGGACTTCCAGCCTCCAGACCTGGAGCAATAGGTGTGTTGTTTATAAGCCCCCCAGTCTGTGGTATTCTGTTACAACAGCCCGAAAGGACTAAGATAAGAAGGGACCCAATTTCTTCCTCATAACTACAGCATCCTTTTCTATTCAATTAGTTTTTCTACAGAAAATAATCTCCTCATCAAAAAAATTAGAGAAAGCTTTGGCTTTATTCACTGATTTTTATCTTTTAAACCTGGTTAAACATTTCAAAAAGGCACCTTAAAAGTTCTTTTTAAAGCAATATTTATAAAATTTTAGCAGAAAATGTATACAAAATCAGGCTCAACTATTTTCTTTGATGACTTGACCTAATTTTAGTTTTCTTCAGACTCGAGAAGACCCAACTCACCTTGAATCAGACGACTACCAGACCAGCTCCCACAGGCTTGCGAAAGCTGATTGTTAAGTTTTCAGGAGTTTTGTGTTTTGAAGTTAGTCGACCCCCTATTGGTGACTTGAAATTGGCCATGGTGGGAGCTTTTACACCCCAAATCAACAAGTTCTGTAAATGGGAGCTTCTTCCGCTCGACGGCCAGTTCTCAAACATCCGCCAGCGCACTCTTGACTTGAATCCTCTTGGCTTGCCTGATCCTCATACAGGCTTGTTAGGGCTTCAAGATCCCCTACCTTTTTTCTCTTCTTCATGATCTGTTTGAGTTAATTTAAAAGATGGTCTTTCCATTCACTTGACCTCTTTTTGTGCCATGGGCTTTAATGAGAAACCCAGGAAAGCTACAGACTTTCCCAGACAACTTACATTCACAGGAAATTGTAGATGCGATTTCAAGATGCTGCTCCCTGAACTCCACTGAGGAGAGCCCTGCGTGAGGTAGCCCCCTGGCTGTCCCCCGCTTTCTGAAGCCCTTAGGCATCCTCACAGCTCAGCTTGGCTTCACTTGGAGCTAAACACATCACCTCCTGTGTTAGCTTTCTTCCTAGCTGGAGCCTGAGCTTTCCTTCCTTCTTTCTACTGACTCCCTTCCTGCTGCACCTGTCAGCTCTCTTATCCTCCGTGGTCCTGGCACTTGTTTGTTTACAGGCAGAGGGAGAAACCAAGACCGTGGGCCCTCTGCCCCATGTTTGTAGAGCAGCTGCCCTCTCTTTAGTCTGCAGCGTTTTCCCACACGCACTGGTCCTTTCCTTTAGCTCTCTGAAGCTACAGGATATCTCATTTCTTGTTTAAAAGCCTGCTCAGCTTTTCCCTGGAGCACAAAAAACTTCAGCATCCCATCAATCTTTACGTTCCACCTCCGACAAAGACTTTCTTATTTCCGGGGTTCAGTGGTCTTTCCCCAGCATTTTAAAATAGACTGTTAGGCTGTTTTTAAGCAGCAATAGAAATGAATTTTTATGTAATAAGTATTTTAATTCCATATTTCCACTTCCAGACTGATCATTTTCTCAGAGAACAAAGAAAGCTTAGTGCAGTGAAGAGAACAGAAGTTTTGAAAGTCAGATTGTTTTATCCTAACTTGGGAGTCCTTTGAGTAATTGATTAATCTCTCTACCCTGGGTTTTCTCAACTATGCAGGGGAATAATGATATTTTCATGGAAGTGTTGTGAGGACTGCAGAGTTTCCTAAACCTGCCTGATCTGAGTCAACGGAGTCATTTGTGAAAAATACCGATTCTCCAGCTCCTTCTCCGAGAGCTCATGTCAGCAGGTCTGGAGAAGGCTTGCTACAAAATCAACTCCCAGGGGATTTTTATAATCACAGAAAGAAAACACACTTATCAAGTATGTGTGTGTAGGCATTACTCCCTGATACATGTAGACGCTGCCCCATGACAGCTTACATTGGGAAATCCCAACCTCTTTTCTGTTTATCGCTGCAACAAAAATTAGCACTTTGTTATGTTATATATTATGTTATATTATAAAATTACATGAAGTATAATGATACATAACATTATTTGTCCACTAATATTTTCATATATGTGAGTTTTATTTTCTCCATTAAATTTAAGCCCCTTATGGGTGAATCCATTTCTCATCTTTCTGACTCACAGAATATGGTTCAAAATAGACAACTAATGATATGTATCCAACAGGAAGTTAATTATTTCCCTCTTACAATATTCTTGAATATGTACTGTTGATGCTCTAACTTTGAACTCTAAAGTTGTCGGTGCAGCAATTTAAGCTAGATTGGCATTTTCAAAGAAGTGCTTAGTGATCTGCGAACAGTAGATTCAGGTAGGTGATTGTATACAGATTTCACAAGGCATAGAATCTTATGTTTTAAAGTTTAAAAAATCTTCAGCTTACGTTCTATCAAACTGCAGATATAATTATTTGAGAAGAAGATTATAATGAGTTAACTATTCCTTAAAATTTTGATTGTGTTAATGCCCAGCCCAACATCATCACACGCCCCACTGTGTGCCCCTCCCCCACCCCAAGAAACGCTGTTGTCGGAGCTGAGAAATGGTACTTCATACCCTGTATTAGGACATAAGATATAAAATCTCTTCAAGAAAGCTGTTTATTACCCTCTGAGCCTGGGGGAAGAGGTAAATTCCAGTGAGTCTGAAATGCCTAAGGAAAGTCCTCATGAGCTACCTGAAGTCTGGTGGAGCCGAGAAAACTCCCCAGAGGCTGGAACCCTAGCGAGATCCCTGTGCACACACAGAAACCACGCTTTCAGGTACCATCCATCTATAGATCTTGTAGTAAAGTAAATCAATTTCCCAGTCATTTTCTGAGGAAATTATTTCCTATTTTATTTGTTATTTATCATTCCTTATTTTTGCTTATTGCAGTTTCTCAGACATCCTCTCCCCCTTTCTCTCTCTTTTCTTTTTTGGACAAGCAGAGTAGTTCCACTTAAAACATAAATATACATTAGCCTCAGATTCCTTTAGAGGAAAGAAAAGAACTCCAAAAGCAGAAGAATAGTATTTTGAGTTGGTAATTTCGCAGAGAATGAGACTTCTAGTCCACTCTCTTTTGAAAGTGATTTCCTGGTTTGCAAAAGTGAGATGTGTAAGCATCTCACTTTCAGATGATTTCTCATAAATCATCTGAATCAATCATGAGTGGGCACAGATCTGGGTTGTTCTGGAAGGACAGTAATATTCCAGGGTTTAGGACATGGGTCATTTTCCTAGATTTAAGTCCATTTTCAGTGATTTCCTTGGGCTGGGTGTACGTGCCCTTATAAAATTCCAAATGGCACAAGTATATTTCTGACAAAGTTCTTTTTTGGAGCTCGTGCCTATGGATATTAACGAAAATAGGTTATTGATTGGAATCCTGATGCTGGGTGGAGCAGGGTCGTGGGGAAACCATTCTGAGTTGTTACAGGTTACCCGCTCTGTAAAATTGGTCCAGGAGCGGAATAGGCTTTTTAGTGGTTTGCATGTTGATGTGCTCAAAGCCACAGACCCGGCGTCTATTTGTTTTCTCCCATCCCTATCATGTGAAGGTATGCTCTGGGTAGGATGCGTTTTGATTGAGAAAATGCAGCCATTAGTCTAACGAACACGGTAATCTCGTTGGGATGTTGTGGACCGGGCGTACATCTCCTGAAGATAGAACTTGCTGTGCGGCCCGTTGACCACAGATACATAGATTGCTCTAGGGTCAAAGCACCACCTTCTTGTCAGGCCTGTGGCCAGGTTCCTACAGTTTTGTTTTTCCCTTTGCTTTCTGCCCTTGTCTTTTTATTTAATTTTCTCTCTGACTTCTCTTCCTATTCTCATGTTTATGTAACTAACACTGCTTTTCTGGTCCCAGCAGCCTGTGGGACCAATGACGTCACCTTAATACTGGTACCCAAACTTCCCTGCTCTTGCTTCCCTCCGGATGAGGAACTCAGGAGGGGCTCACGTGGTCTTATAAATACGTCTGCTCCTTCTAGTCACCTCTCCTCTGCAGGACCCAGCGGTTTCTCCCGGCGCTGTGGATAGTTTCCGATTTCTTCCCATCTCTCCCATC